TCTATAATTTTTGTTTTATGCAAAATTTTCCTAAAATGGTCCGTATTCGAGAAATTTGACAAAATGTAAAAAAAAATAATTTTTTATAAAAATTGTTCAAATAAAAGTTGTTTGTAATATAATTCTCTATAATTTTTATCCTATAAATAATTTCTCTAAAATGGACCGTATTCGAGATATTTGAGAAAATGTGTAAATTTCGAATTTTGAAGAAAACTCAAAAACGGATAAAGGAAAAAACATTAAATTTTAAACTTAAGTTTTATTTCGACCTGAGGTGAACTGATTAGATTTTGGACAGAGTCGGAACATTTGGGGGGGTACTTTATTGGTGGTCATTTTTATATTTTATGGAATATATTCGTTATTTACGTTTGGGGAAGAAAATTCTTTAAATAAAAGTTACTTACAATATTATTATCTATAATTTTTGTTCTATGTCAAATTTTCCTGAAATGGTCCGTATTCGAGAAATTTGACAAAATGTGCAAAATTCTGATTTTTAAGAAAATTGTTAATCTAAAAGTTGTTTGCGATATCGATCTCTATAATTTTTGTTTTTAAATGACTTTTCTAAAATGGACCGTAATGGAAAAATTGGAGGAAAAGTGCTAAATTAAAATTTTTCAGTATTTTCGTTTTCAATGAATATCTATAGAAAAATGTTTCGAGGTAGATGTATGTGGAAAATGTATATATTTAGTTTATCCTCTAAACATTTTTAGAGATGCTGCAATAGGTTAACTAGATAGGAAAGTCATGTGTTGGACACATCAGATTTTTAATAATATATTGTGTGTATTTGGTAAGTTAATAGTATATTGCGTAATAAGTGTTGTAAAAAGTATGTTACACAAGAATGGAAAAGTAATTCCATGAGTGCACACTTGCTTTACAACAAGCATTACGTACTATACTTTACCTTACACAGGTAAAAATGCATGTAACAACTTGTATAATTTATTCTGTGCGTTTTTTACCGTTTGATTTGTTTACTATACATAATGAGCTATTTACTGCACCTGTAGGTCCACGGGGGTCGGATTTCATGTAAATAGTTGGAAACAAGTTTGCTTGACCTCGACAGTAGCGCGCTAAGCACTTACGGTTGAACTACACCTATCGGTTTCAGTCGATAAACTAGGAGACTACTAAGTAAAGTGATTTAAAAATTGACGGGCTTCATAATTTAGCTATTTGAAGCAATTTGAAGTAACATTTTCCTATTTGACAACTTTTACTTACAACTACTAAACAAACAATAAGTTTAGTGCATTTTTGTTGTAGGTAAATGTTGAAAAATGGAAAATGTCACTTGTTTCAACTGAAAAATAAAATTAGTTGGAAAATAAAACACATTTTTAACAAGTTTGATTTATTTAGAATTACCATGTAATTACATGTATTTCATTGTCTTTTAACTGCATATTCTGAACATGACAAGCACTATATGACACACCTAATTACTGAAAAATTAAAATTAAAATATGATAACCAGCATAGAACATGACAATGATAACATAGTTTTTATAAAAAGTCAAAGTAGTTAATTTATAAATACAATTGTTTTAAATATCCCCAATACTGACTTATTAATCCAAGGACAAATCATTATAATTCTAATATTCTTATACTTAATATCCTTTTAATTCCTTTACCCATCTATTTCAATCTAGAGTAGTTGTAATGCCTATTTCGGGTACAATAAGCCGCCAGCTTCAGTACAGGTTGGCTTTGAAACACACCTTAAGTCAGATAGATATTTATGCACATTCCAAAAATCTCCATACCCAGGAATATCTAAAACAAAACAAAAATAAAGGGACAGTGTGTGTCTTAAAATTAAAAATTTACAAGAGTCATAACTTTTTTAAAATCTTACATATTTTCTTGCAATAAAAGGTATAAAAATTTCAATAAAAATAGAAAACATCCGATTTATGATCTTAATAGGTGAACTATACAATAATTAACAAGTTGACATAAATATCATATTAGTTTTTGAACATATTTGGGCATTTGATAAATATAATAATGAATATTACCCAGAAATTGAACAATAACTTTTTGAGCACAAATCATTCGCCTTTTTCATCATGGTCTTTATGAGTAAAACTATGATTAGGTTCTATCTCCGTTTCTACAATATCTGTTTTTTAATTGGCTTCACACATTTCGCTCACAACTCCGTTCATTTTTTTGACCACAAATGTTTAAAATGTGGATCCATTTATCTCTAAGCGTAATAATAATAATAGCAGGAAAAATATAAAATTTCTTGTTAGTTTTGTGTGAAAAATATTTACTTCTGCAATTAAAATTTAAATGAATCAGAAGTTAATGACATTTTTAAGAACCTCCCTATAGTTAAATCTAACTAAATTAATACAATTTACTCACCTATATTTGAAAATAAAAATAATAGGCTGACATATTTATGGCAACATAACCTAATTTATTTTCAAAGCCAGATTTAAACCATCTCATAATATTTATTCCTGTATTTAATCACACATTATAATAAAGTGAAATTTAAAGGGATAAATCAGTAAAATTATTGATTTCTTTGTCATTATTTTTGAAAACATATTTTTTTATGGGTGTAAAACGGGTTTGAATTTAGTGATAGCAGCACGTTAAGCGCTTACCGTTGAACTACCAACAAGAAAACAAGTCCCGCCATTTATTCAAACCTTCTCCTTTTATTTTTCTATGTGTAGGTCTTGTGTTCTTAATTGATTTTCATAGTGGTCGTAGGTTTAATATTTTGTTAGTATGGCTTTCCAGTTATTATGATTATATTCTTCTCAGAGATAAATATCTTTAAAACAAGAATTAGGTATGCCCTGTATGATATCTGAATTACGATATTTTTAAAGATTACTTATTAATAATTTTTTTTTATTGGTACTCTATTTTACTTATTTGAAGTACGCCTCAGCGTGTTTAAAACGAACTTAGATAAAAGAAACAAAAAACGAAATTTAAAAAACGCGCGTGTTTTAAAGTTACCATGGTAACATCAACAACCCGAGAAACGTGATGTCTAAATGCCAACTTTTTAAATATTGATCTGACAGGAGTGCCTTGTAATGTCAAATAAAATATTTCTGAGAAATTTTTCAAAAAATTTATTCAATTGCACAATTCACATCTTCTACAAGAGCCAAAGATGCCACAAATAGCAACCACCTTCAAAAATAAATACGTAATGTCCGGTGCATTTGTAAAAAACTTCCGCGAATCGTCTTCCTCGAATACATATGCCTTCTTGACTACCTTATTTTTGCTAATTGCCTTCATGAATGCATCCACTTTGACGAACGATTTTATATCGACCCCTTTGTTTATCCTCAACATACTTTGTAATTTTGAATGGATAGTCCACATAGTCGATACTTTATACTGTTCCGACATTTTCTGGAGATAAGCGAGAACAACTCGTTCATCTATATGTGTAACCATTTGCTCTTCCATCCACGTGTTGTATTTATCGTATTCTTTTTTATAAACCGCTTCGGATTTTTGTGGTATTAAGCGCGATCCTGCTTTATTATTTAAATACTCAATATTTGAACTAATTTTAAACAATAACAACTGTTGCGACAATTAGTCTTACGTTACAGATAGAAAATACATTTTCGTTTGTCTCATTTTCATGACAACGAGGTATACTGATGTTACATCACAAATTCAACCATTTTCAGTTAGTTCTTATTTCTATTTTTTTGTAGAATTACCTAATACCAATATTTAGGATTCAATAAAAAAAATAGCGTAAAGTATTCGTGGATAACTGGTCTTTAAAACACTTGCTGTATTTCGAGCACTCCGGCTGCGCCGTTTTAAAGACCGTTATATCCACTTATACTTTAATATACTAATTTCGACTGGAGAATTATTTCTTTAAGAATAATTATTGTTTGTTTATTGTTTGCGCATAATTAGGGTCCTTTGTTGAATCTGTTATGATTTGCATGTGGACAATTACGGCCCTTTAATTAATTGGATTACTTGTTTGCTTGTTAGCTTGTTTGCTTTGTAGGTGGTTAGCTTGTTTGACGAAAAATTGTTCGTGAATGGGGTAAAAATTTGATATTTTCTACTGATAAGAGTATGACAAGAGAGGGCGATAAAGACTTCTGAATTATGAGGATATCAAATCAATAAACATCACATTATAAATTTTAATTTGTAAGTAAATGATGAACATTTTATCAAGTTGTCAGATTAAGAAAGTAATTTTGCTGGTGATGATATTGTGTTAGCTGTAATTGCTACTGTCGTACAGTTCTTTCAAATTGCCTATTGCCTATTTAACTTCTCAATTGTATGGGTCGGTTTAATTTCTTATATGTGACACCACAAAAATGATCAAAATCGGACAATATCTTCCGTTCGCATAAAACGGCGAAAGTTTTAAGAAAAATACGAATTTGATAATTTATTTTTGTTTAGGGGTTTATATTTTTTAGCGCTAAACGTTAGTATTGTTATTAAATATCCTGAAAAAGTAAAAAAAATCATTGCTTTTAAAGCATATTTTCCTATCGCGCAAACAAAAATCGCCATGGCAAATAAGTATCAAGCTTGTAACTACGGCATTGCATTGCTATGGAGCAGTGTTGCCACAATATATTTTTATAATGTATCAAATTCGTCTAAAAAATGTACCAGATTCCATAAAAATGTACTGGATTCTATAAAATGTACCAGATTTTTCGAATTGTGAAGTGTGGTCAATAAAGAGCAAAAAAAGATTTATAGAGAACACGAACACAACAAATAAGGAAGACCTCAACAATATATTTTACACGTCAAATCGAAACATTCGCTGAAAAAGAAAAAGTACTAGATTATTCTTCGAGTGTACTAGAATACCAGATTCTCAGAGAATGTACTAGATCTAGTACAATTGTACTAGACTAGCAACACTGCTACGAAGTATCTGATCGTTCGGCTGCTGCGAGTTATTCTATAAGATACTGGGTTTGTAACAGAAACAGATACTTCCAAAATAGTCGATTGGGATAAAATAAGGGAAATAAGTCGAAATAGCAGTAATTTACAAACAAAACGTAAGCAGCATTTAAATAACGTACGAGATCTTTATTTGGATGGTAGAATAGACGATACTTTAATTATCGAAAAAATTGTATCTCCAAAATTTGGTTCTGTTAAGGACCTTGCATCAATTATTGTATCGAACTTTACTGAAGAAGAAATTTCCCTCGAACACATTGATGCCGTTAGCTGTGACGTTACTAATACCAATACCGGATGAAAAAGTAATGCTATTCGACAAATTGGATGACCATTGGAAAGAGCTGTTGCCTTACTAAATTTTTAATATTTAGCTGGGGTAACAACTTGCCGATTTAGTAGACCGATTAGGCAGAAATACGAAAAATTTGCAATTTTTGCAAATATTCAGACATTTTGGGCGATCGGAAAATATGCTTTAAAAGCAGTGATATTTTTTTTGCCTTCTTTTTAATACTAGTACTAACGCTTTAGCATTAAAAAAATACAAACCCACAAATAAAAAAAAAACGATTAAGGCAAAGACATTACAACCTTTGGATTAAGGCAACTTTTCCGCGGTAAGTATAGCGAATCAAAAATATTAATTTTAAATATTTCGCATCACCCTAATTCATGTGCTTCTTTGTTTTAGGGGGGGGGGGGGGGTTATAATCCTGCGGTCATATTTATTGTGAATAAGCGGTATTGTTTTATGGCGTACAATGTTTTTTGTCACTAATTATGAAAGAAACCAGCCAGAAACCAGCCAGAAACCAGCCAGAAACCAGCCAGAAACCAGCCGGAAACCAGCCAGAAACCATAAATAAACAAATAAATAGAAGGAACCGTTCAGTATCTGATAAAGTACCAACCAGAAGCGCTGGATTTTAAAAAACACCATGGGTGCTCATGCTCATTTGATGATTCGTTAAAAAAACTGGCGCTATGCGAGTTGAGAAATGCACGTCAACCGACGAATAAATATCATACAGAATTGTAAAAATGGTATCTAAATTCGTCAAACAAAACTCAAGTTATAATTGAACAAACAGGCAGTAGTGTGTAACACAATTTTTATCAGCAGGCAGGAAATATAATTATTGGAATCTACATAATATACATAACACAATATTTATTGTACTAATGTACTTCGCACTGTATCTGTAACGTGTGAAGGGGACTTTAACCCACTTAGGCCTCACTAGGCCCATTGTGCATTCTCCTAAGTAGATATGCGCCTCCTAGCTCGTGAGCCAGCCTACAGATTTAATGTAGTTGAGCCGGCTGGTGTTAGCAAATTCTCGCCGATCACAAATCTTCTAATAAGTGAGATTGTCGGGCAATCGTAGATGATATGCTCGATGGTCTCATCTTCTTGTTCGTGAGGATTCTGACAGCCCTATGATATGCAGATGCTTCCGTACTTGTCAATGATCAGTCAGATTGCCTGTGATTAGATGCAGCTTCTGTCCAGTCATAGTCAAGTATTTGTTTGCTGTAGTATTGTCAGGATAACTTAAAAGCTCCCTGACAAGTCTGCCGCTTCTTGCTCCATCCCATCTTTCCTTAAATTTCGTAAGTAAATGTTCTTTAATTAGGTTTATCACTACCGATATTGTCAGTACAATAGAAGGGCCAGGTCCAAAAAGTATTTGGTTGACTGCCTTCTTGGCTAGTAAATCAGCAAGACAGCTACCATTAGACAATTGATTAATTTTATGGTTACCGTTCGATGTGGCGTGACCTTTGGTCCATCTTAAGCTGACCACATTGTTAATGCCAAAGCTTCGTGGCATTCTAGTACTAAGCCTACGTAAATTCGTGGTCTGCCCAGGGTTAGTGCTTCTCTGCTATCTGTATACATTTCTTCTGCTGCTATGAGAATCCGTGAGTTCGGTTTAAAGTACACTAGCACTTATGCTCATAACCCATTTTATGTTTATATTTAAGGATCTGGAGTATAATCCACATCCTGAGCCTTGTTTTGTTTTAGAATCATCGGTATAGATATGAATCGTACACTTCGCGTCATATAAAACTAGTACACTTTATTACAATCTTTCAAATGCGTTGGTAATTTTTAGATACTAAGAAAACTGGCAAAGTTCTTCTACTTCTTGTCTCGCGAAAATCAAATAGGACCTGTACCTACCTTCGTACTCTTTGAGATACAAACTATCCACGAGTATTAGCGATGCTCTTTCTAATGGCATTGAAAAAATTGAAATATAAAAATTAACAAATTCTGCCACTTTTTTATACCAAAAAAATCGAAAAGGGCTCCTACCTTCGGGATACAAACGAAAGTAAAAGAGGTACAAACGGGTTCATACTGTGCTATTTTAAATGGAATTAAAGAAATTTAAATATCTTATACTTAGTTGCTGGCTATTTTTTGACCCTTTATAACTTTTGCCCTTTGAGACACAAACAAGTAGAGAGTACAAACGGGTACAAGCAGAGGTGCAGGCAAAGAGTGCGACTACTGTTAGATCGTTGGTTAGCAAGCTTGATGACATAGTTTTCATAGATATAAGTCAATAACTTCAGTGGCGTGTGCCTTATACTACATACATTTTCATAATTTTATTACCCCTTCAATTATTGTTTTTTTTCCCAAAATAATAGTTTTATATATTCTAGGATAGTCTAAATTATAATCTACATTCATTCCAATAAAAATTATTTAATATTCACAGAAAAACTACTTTATATGTACAACAAAACTAATTTAACATATTTAAGCATTAAAAAACTCGCAATTCGGCGTAATGTTGATAAAGTTTGTATTAATCCTTTAAAGGAAGCGATTTTTTTTAGCCAGAAGTATTCGAATTCTACTTCTCCCTATACAGGGTGTTTCTTATTACCATGCTAATATTTAAAGGGATGATTCTTGGACACAGTTTAAGAAAAAAACTTCATATGAATGTATGTCCTAAACGTCTTAACTTTTGAGATACAGGGTGTTAAAACAGTGAGGTCGTACGAAAAAAACTCAAGAAATCAGATTTGTTCTAAATTGAACGAGGACTCCAAAAATAATCTTTATTTTAAGAGAAAGCAGTGACGTAGGGGAGGTCCGCCAACAGTCGTCACCCTTTTTTATAAATTGGCTTAAGTGCTAAACTGAGCATATTTACCACCTCCAAATTAGCTTGTAGAGAGTGTCATTGATATAGAAATGCAAGTATTACCACTTTTACCCAAAAAGTTTTGTACAATTCAAGAAAAAAATTATCGAAAAAAAAATTGTTTTTTGGCCACTGTACCAACTAGTATGGTACAGTGGAAAAATTTTAAAGGTACAGTGGACAGACAACAACTTCTAAAAATATTTTTTATTGGGTCAAAACTTAAAACAGAAACATAGAATTCATGAAGCAGATCATAAATTCAGTCTAATATAGATTGTAATTAGTCAGGTCCGTGGAAAAGTGATGGTACCGTTGAACTCTTGCAGTGCCTCCCGTCGATACCGGAGTTGGTAATGACATCACGATATCTTCTGGTGGGACAGTTGACTGATCTGGGACATCAGGAAAAGAAAACTTGTTTTCTCGTCTTTTTTCTTCGAAAGCTGACACTATATTCTTTAAACCTGTTATCGATGTCCGTAACTTGGCTCACACAATATTTAACTTGTTTTTTTGTAGCAAATTTTACTTCCAACCAAAATTTCACCATCGCAATTCTGATCTCTAGGTTCTTCAGTCTAATCAATATCTTCAGAGTCCGTAAGGTTCATGCTTTCGGTATTAGATTCTGTATCGCTACTATCGTCATTCCTTGGAGCTAATGTTTTTGTATTGGCCGTCTCTGTATTAAAGCTGAAAATGTTTCTTGTAGTGGACTTGCTGTAGTGGACTTCAGCTGTTCAAATAGAGAGAGGATATCTTTTGAGATAATTGGTCATCCAATATTTTCCTGCCATTTGATTTTTGAACCAAGAGGGAGGAATTCGCTTGCCATATTCTGCTGCCAATGAAAAGGCAAACTTTCTGACATCTTTTGGAGTGAATCCATGATTCAATTTGGCACACATTTGGAGGTATTGAGAAAGCTCTGTTTCTTTCGCAATAGAAAATATTCGGTTTACAGTATAATTGGGCGACAATCCAGTAGTAACATTTGCTATGTCTTCAACATTTTCAATTTTTTTTATGTCTCCTAAGGGTAGTTCTTGGAATATCATGACGAATTGCGGCTGCTTTTACAGAAAGACCATGTTCCTTTATACTACAAAGAGCATTTCTCATGGTCTCTGGAGGAATTTTTCCAATTAAATCAGGTCTTTTCGTCTTCGGCCGTGGCATATTTTCTTTCGGAAACGAAAAAAAACATATCGGGAACAGTGGCCACTACTTCTATTCTTTAAAAGCAGTGGCCACTGTTGCGAATTAGTTTGTGGCCACTGTAGCAGAGAGAGAAGAAAATACACTTTACCTAATCACAAAAAAATTGATTGGAATTTTTGCACTTTAGCGTCATCATACGCTTTATCTAAGTCAAGATAAATATAGGGAATACAAATAACAGTAGTGTACTTACCAATAGCGGATATATACACCGAAAAAACCAGCGAAATATGTAACTTTTTACGTTAGAAATACGCATAAACTAAGCGCTGCCGCGAATGGCGATATACTGAAAATCCGGTTGAAATATTCAAAACAAGTCATGATTTTAACCCCGCATACGAGGGGGCGCTACTACTAGACATCACATTGCAATAATATCAACGGGTGGCCACTGTACTTGGTATGGCCACTGTTGGCGGACGTCCCCTATCACTTTTTCCTTAAAAAATATCTAGTACGGACGCCACTGTTGAAAATAAAAAAAAAATGTTTTTTATGTCAAAAAATGCTCTTTAATGCATAAACGCCGTACACTAAATTTCATAAAAATATTTAAAGTATGAAAATGATAATAAAAAATTGATTTTTTTTTAAACTTTAGCACCCTGTATCTCAAAAGCTAAGACGTTTAGGACATATTTATATGAAGTTTTTTTTTTTAAATGGGTCCAAGTCACCCGCCTAAATATTAGCATATTATTAAGAAACACCCTGTATAAAGATTGTTTGACCACCTGTTAAAATTGTGCAGATATTATCCCTGTATCCCTAACATCTTTGTATACCTAATTTGATAGAATTTTTAACAACTTTGTAGCACTTTTGGTAATCATTTTTTATTTTTTTATTCTACCATTTCCATTTATTGAGGGAGCTGCTATCTGTTTATGAAACATTA